GTCTCTCTCCGATCGGCACGCGCCGCGCCGGGGTGGTCTGCCTGCGCCGGCGGTGGGTGATGGACTCCACCTGCCACGAGAGGTGCCCGGCTGCGCGCACCCGGCGCCGGAGCGTCTCGCCGTGACTGGTGCCGGCCGCTGGTGTGTACTGCTGTTGGCTCGGAGCCAATGCGACCTTCACGGAGTGAATCCAGTCCCAGCCGCCGCGCAGTCGCAGTAGCGACCGTGACCGTGCTGCGGGCGCGCTGCGAGCCTGCAGCAGCGAGGGTGACCTCACCGTCCACACAGCGCAGCAAAACCCACTCCCTCCCCACTGCTTTCGGTGGTCGCCCAAAACGACCTTCGAGCGACCAGTCATCACGACGCCATCGTGACGACATTGTGACGTCATCACCCAATTGCCGACGGCTAAGTTGCGCAGCTCCGAACTTGTGAATCACCGACGATTATGGTCGTCGCTCATCAAACACAAATGATCACCACTTTTGCTGACAAACGCCGATGGAAGAGATCGCTGGCGAGCCGGTCAATCTCTTTTCCAAACCAACTCGGTCGAAATGAATTGCCGTCGTCCCGTCACCGCACGTCATCAGCTCGTAGCGGGAGCTGCCTCCAGCCGCTGTGAGCGACTCGGAGGCCGTCGTATCGGACGTGGCCCTCAACGGAGCTCGTTTATGGAGCTGTTTGCAGCGGGCCTGACGCCGCCGGCACAATGGGAGTCTGTTCCGCCCGTTGACCGCGCTCCATTCAGAGTGGCCGCACGCGCCGTCTGGGAGGGCCGGGCCGGCACGAGCGGACCGGGCCACCCAGCCGTGGGTGGTCCTCCGGACCTGCCCGGCCCGAACACTCGCCTGGGCACGGTCGGAGCTGACACGGCGCGTACGAGCCGGCAGAGTGGCGAACGGCGTTGGCGCACTCGATATTGATAACGCGTTGATGCCCCAGGGAATACCCGGGACAATATCAGCTGCTTTCGATAGTGAATCTGTTTGTAAATCACCCGTTCTTTTAGTTCAAAACACTAAGTTCAAAGGCAGTGTATGCCTTATTGAATTTACAATATGAGGTTGGAGATGAGCGCACCGAAAGCTTCGTTGAAACTTATTTCCAGTTTCGCGTTTTACGCTCCCGTAACCCCAGTCTCCACGTGTTCACCTCGCCCCAACCCTCACGCCCCACGACACGCTGTACTGCACGGCCGACCCACACAGCGGCTCCCAGGTCGGGCGAGGCGCTGAGAGCCCACGCGGCACGCACCTGGGACAGCGAACCCTCTCAGCATGGTGCGGTGGGCCGGGCGGGGGCCGGTCCTGGGACGGACGGCGCACCTGTTCCCACGCCTGCCACTCCAGGGACGGGGGGGGGGGGCAGAGTTTGTGGGACGGCGCCCACATCAGTCTGGGCTGCAGGATTTTTGGAGAGAAGGTGGATGGGAAATGGGGTGACAAACTGGACAGTGGTACTGACTACTGAGGGCCGCTTCAGTGACCATGCTGGGATGATCCGGATGGAAGCATGAAAAAGGGCGCCGAAAGTCTTAGGAAGGGAGACAGATCGCCGGTGAACATTTTGTAAAGTCACATAGATGTTCTCGAGTCGAATCCACGGCTGCATCGGCGGAACATAAAGCATCACGCGGTGTTTTCCACTACCGGTTATTGAACGTTGCTGTAGATCTCTATCCGTAAATTTATTTGCAGATGTTATCCTGACTGATCGGTTGTAACTCGCAAAATAACTCAAGGCATTCAGCCACCCTCGGAATAATGTCTTTGCAGCACACTCTGAGCCCTTTTCACAAAACAATTTCGCAGTCGGTGCACTCAGCGATTCAAAAATGCCGTCAGGCCTGAACAAGTCAATCAATCAGCTTCTGATTCAATCTGCATTAGATCGTCCACTGCGCTGTAATTCAATTACACCAGCCAGTTGCAACTTCAAGTTTGCACCGCGCGCCCTCTTCCTGTGAAGGAGCTCTTCGCTGGAGCTGGGGAACCACCCCCACCTCGCTCGGCTGTCGGCGGTACCTCTCCAATCACTCGACCACCGGCGGCAGATCGGTCATCGGCCGTCCGTTCCGGCGACGATCGGCCCGCCGACCGTCATCAATCGGCCCGCCGACCGTCATCAATCGGCCCGAGAGCGATGGCCGAAAAATGGACTCGGCCGCCGGCCGCGCGGTGCCGGATGAATTCCTGATCGCCACTGAAGGGTTGGATTGTCGTCCTGGTCCCAACGGGCACGGACCCCATCGAACTTTCCTGGAAATGGCTGCCCCTTAGCTAAGTCCCCTTCGCCCCTCGGATGTTGGATATGCATCGCCAACATCGCTTCAAATCACATGTGGGGAGCGCATGCGTGTCTGGGTCTCACTTCCGCCTCGCGGCCGTGTTTGTCATCCTCCCCAGATTCTCCGCCAGACTATTGATTTTCTGTCGGCCTAGATTTGAGGGGTTGCGATGCGGTTGCAAGCACCGGTTCCCCACCGGTCCCTCCCCGCCAGACTGCCGGGGGGCAGACAGTGGGCCGTTAGGCTGGTCGCACGGGTTCACCTCTCTGCCGGCGAGGGTCGTCGGGTCGTCGACGCCGGCGGCCGATCGGCCCTTACCGGCGGGCGCAGTGTCGCCGTGCAGTCGTTTGTCATGTGCGCCGTATTTCGCCGTATTTCCGCCCACTTGTCGCGCCGGAATGGCCGCGAGTTATTGGAGCTGGGAGTGAAGTGGCGCCCGGCCGGCCCGGCACGACGTTTACGGCGCTGATATAGATCGGAACCTGGCGCCAGTCCGCTGAAAGGCTCACCGGCACCTGGGCGGCAGTCGACGGCCGCTCAATGCGCACGTACGGAGAATCTCCCGAACTGGTCGCACCGCGCTCAATACGCCGCGTTTTCTGCGAGCTAAATATGGATTACGTTACCTCGAGCTGTAGATTACGTATTGACCGAGTCATGCCGAGCTTATTCCGAAAACAAGCAACGCTGCAAGGGTGGGTTCGTTTGGCTTTGTGTATGGACACTGCTTGCATGAGGACGGCGCCCGGATTTTGATGCATTACCCGTTGCGAAAGTGGACAAATGGGGACTTATCGCGCTTATTATACTATCGGTCAATCTAATTAGCGCCCTGCGTGCCCAGTCTGATTCACAGGTGGCCGGCCGGTGCCTCGTGTCGAGTAGTGACACTGATGACACTCGGCCGGGGCCGCCGGGCTCTTATTAGCCGAGTGGCGCCGGCCGGCCGGCCGGGCGCGTGGACCACCACCGGATATCGACACACGCACGCACCGCCGCGCCGGTCGCGTGAGCGCGCCCCCGGGGCGAGATCACGAGCTTTTTACGTCGCACGGAAGCGCCACCTTCGTGCCACTGCCGCCGCGGGTCTAATGCCGTGTCGATGACGGAACTTTGTCACCTTCGCAAGTTGACACACTGGTGGATATATTTTTGGCTGTTTCTTTACTACATTATTATTTTGGGGCCATTCATTCTCTTGATGTAAGGACTAAGGAGGACCGTAGCAGGAGTTTTTTAAAGGGTTCATGAACTGTGGTCATTTCGCTGGTGCCACTTAAGCCATTTGTTCAATGTCCTCATGACATGCAAACCTTTCGCCAGTTATTTGCACGTCTGAGTTCTCTGAAATAACGACTCGGTGAATCACTCCGCCATTCAAATCGACAAATGGCTGCTGGTAGGTAATTGAAAATGTACACGCCTTTCATGTAGCCCTGACACTTTAATAGTACTTTACCGGCACCATTTCATACAGGTGGTGAATGGTTCACGCACCTGTTCAATATTTATCGCTGGCTGGTCGGGTAGCTGGTACGGCGGCGAGCTTGTCGCGTAGCCCGGTTCCGGTGTCGGCTCGCCAGACACAATAAACACCGCTTCCGCCGCCGCGCCGGTGCGCCGTTTTTTGTCACGGCTGCGCCGCGTCTGTAATTTGCCGGAAAGTTCGGCGCGCCGCCTCGGAAAGTAGCGTTGGCCGGGGTCGGGCCCGTGTCTAGTCGTGAGCCGTGCTGGGGCTCCGTCCGTGAGCCGTGTCCCGTACCGGGGCTCCGTCCGTGAGCCGACCGCTGCCGGTCGAAGGTCCGGCGCCACGGGGTCGGGTCAGGTGGCGCGTGGACGGCGCACGGGGCCGGTGCTAATGTCGAGCGGCGGCCGATGGCGCCGGCCCGGTCCGACGACCTGACGCCGGTCGGCAGACTCACCACGACTCAGACTGGAAGGCCAAAAGAACTATCCACGCGCGCCGTAACTTCAGCGGGCGTCTCGCCCGTCTGAGAATCTACGAATCTCGCCGACTGCCCTCTAGCCTCCCCCGAAATCCCTCCAGTTCTCCGACCGTGCCTTTGTCTGGTCTGCAGTGAAGCACGTCCGCGTCCATTACCGGCGCAGCTTCAGCGGGCCGGCACGTTCACGCGCCGCTGTGTCCGACCGGCAACTTTTCCATGAAGAACTTTGATCGCCGTCCCGGCCGTCAACAGCTTCCACAAAGGCTGTGGAGCTCTGTCGATGCAGGATCTCCGGGGCAGACCGGCAGACGGGCTGTCAACTTTCCGACGTCAAAAATCACAAACTCGGGACACATCCGCCACTAGTTTCTGTCAGCATTAGCTCTTTGTTCTCGTCGCCGACGGATTTATTCATGTGAAAGTCAATCCGGTAATGCTGAGTGCTCGCTCGAATTTCTGCGTGGCGAGGGGCTCGGGTGTTCTTCAAATGGCATGTTTGTTGAATATGCTGTTACTTGTCGTGTCCCATTAGTTTCAGCTGACTGCTTCTCTGGAAGGCGGCGATTCCCCCAGACTTCGGTTATCGCATTGGGAGAGTTCTTCGATTGCATTATGGTCTTGTGCCGTCGGTTTGCTGAGCAGTAGTTCGTCGTCGCCTCAGGAAAACTCGGCAATCATATTACGTGACTAGATTAGTCTGAGGCTCTGATCGTTATTGTGTTTGGGCGACAGACGTTGACTGGATGTTTCTCCCCTTTTTGCAGACATGTTACGAGATGGAGAAGTACCTGAAGGACGAGCCGAAGCTCAAGTCGTACAAGAAGCTGCCGTCCGAGCTGGACTCGGCGGCGGCGCGGTGGAAGTCGGAGCCGGAGCCGGACGACGGCGAGTACCTGTTCTCGTCGCGCGACTCGCTCGACTCGCTCAGCGTCAGCTCCGGCTCGTCGGCCAACTGGGAGACGGCCAGCGTCAAGACCGAGGAGCCCGAGTCGGAGAGCGACTCGGAGATGGAGGACGCCGCCGGCCGGCTGCTGGCCCACTCGCTCACGCCGCCCTCCAGTCCCGAGTGGCCGCCGGCGGCGCGGCTGGCCGGCCGCGGCACGCTCCAGGTGCGCTTCACGTCGCGCGCCGGCGGCCTCATCTCGTGCCTGCCGGGCCTGTCGCTCAAGGCGGGCCACGGCCGGCCGGCGCGCGCCGACTCCTCGCCAGATGGCAAGCGGCGGATACACAAGTGCCTCTTCTCCGGCTGCAAGAAGGTCTACACCAAGTCGTCCCACCTCAAGGCCCACCAGCGGACACACACAGGTGAGATCGCGACCGCTGCGCAGACCGCGACCACCCACACCTTCGGCAACTTCCTATACCCTTCCCGCATCAAAACGTCTATCATAGCAAGAGGGTCGATAGCATAGCTTGATACATCATCATAAGAAGGTCACATGGATGCGGCGGCCGACTTTTTGCATCCGGCGATCACCATTGGCATTCCTGTCTGGGCAGATATTGCGACCATTTAATGTCCTCATCCGCAAAAACAGCTGGCATATGACGGTGACATATCGACTCAGGGTTTCCGCGTCGGCTCAGACCAGTTGGAGACCGGGATATTAATGGTGCATATGGTCGAGGTAATGGCGTCATTTTTGCTCGTCTGCGGAGCCATTTGGCCTATTTGCCGGGATTGTATATCCGGAAACACGCTCGCAGGTGCCCTCCCAGCGGGGTCTTTGCGCCCGGAGTCTTTAGCGGAGCCCATTCCAGAGCAGCACAGGAGCAGAGGTGTTCTCAACTCGCGGACACTGGCTCCGATTGCCGTCGGCCGGCTGATGGCTGCCCCGTGTAAACCCGTCACCCGACGGCGGCTCGTGATGAAGCGACTCCCCCGCGGGAGTGGGAGGCCTTCCCGTCGGCGGGACGATCCTCCCCCGCTCCCCTCTGGCGCCAGTAAACAGTGGCGGCCGACCCGGGCAGAAATAGCCCCGGGGCGCGCTGGGTCAGCGGCCCGGTCGGCAGCCCCTCTCGCAGACGCCTCCCCTCCCCTCTCCAGCCATTCCAACAACTGACGGCGCATGGTAATGAAGATCAGAGGAGGGTGCATGTACACTCGGCTCTCTCTCTCTCTCTCTCTCTCTCTCTCTCTCTCTCTCCTCCTCTGTCCCTCCTTATCCCTCCTCTACCCATCTCTCTCATTCTTCTCTCCTTCTCTCCCCTCTAATCTCCATCTCTCAGTTGGAACTTCCTGCGACAAGCATCTAGTTATACCTGGCATGCACCTGAGGCTCGCTGACGCTCCAAAGCTGCGATGCAGAGCGCTAGGATGACGGCAGACATTCAGAATCGCCACAGAAGAGCACAGCCTTAGCCCTTAGTGCAGTATCCCAGGAGGCACCGACCATCCTACGCAGACCCCGGATACGCACAGGATCATTTCGCGCACATTCTTCCGTCGTCGAGCCATCCATTAAACATGTCCGCCGAGGGATCAGCCGGCACGGCGACAAGCGCCATAGCGGGCTTTTCCTGTCGGGAAAGGCCGCTGGTGGAGGCTGAAATTCAGCCCCGGGCACTGCGGACTTCCCAAGTAGATCGTGAGGACGTCTTGGAGTGTGTGAAATGAGATGAGGCGATAGGTTTTAAGATGGGTGGATGGAAATGGGTTATATTTATAGCAGAGCTATGAGCCGGGAGACAGGATAGATACCTACGTGTCTGAACGAGAATAGGTTAGAAACGTGGCTCCCGAGTCCCAATCCTCTGCGTGGATCTCTGGCACGACGTGTGTGCCTTTGACAGCGATCAATGGCCTCTTTTCGGCCGATGGGTTCGCTCGGGCACTAACAGTCTATCACTCGTCGCCGTGCGCCTGGTGCGGGCGCGCGCGTATGGTGTGCGCCCTGCGCCGCCTTTGTTATTCGGCGCCAGGCGCGGCGCGGCCGTCGAATTACCGCGGCGCCTGGCGCGTCTGCAGCGTCATTATACAGCAGTCTCGGCCGTTATCTATGACGCCTTTGTTGGTTAATAGAGCACGGGGAGCGGAGGGCCGCCCGCAACCAGGGGGAGTCGTCTGCCGCATGTCACCGCGAGACAGCCCCGCGCGATAACGCAGCACGGCCGCAATTATCGCCGGCTTTGCCCGGCTCCAATTGTCGGTACGTCGGCAATGGAGGCCGCTGGAGATAGGTACCGGCAGCCGTGGGGGATGTGGATGCCGCGGGTGAGCGTAAAGTCCGCGACGCTCACGTGTTCCATATATCGCTGTGAACGATGAGCGGCTGCCGCCGCGCCCCGTCTCCCACCACCGGAGGGTCCAGACAGTCCCCGGGCCGCGAGTTCCGCTGATTTCTGCCGGTGCTCCATCATTCGAGTGGGTTTGGAGGCCCTAAATAGTCTGCTGGCCCGCTATCGGCGTCTCGCCGTGTTCTTTACGCAGATGGAGGAGCCGGCGGCGCGCCGTATCGGGCCCGTTTGCGTCAGCGCCTCCGCCGCGTCACTTTATCGCCTCGCTGCGCCGCTCTCGCCGCCGCCGTCATCGCCGCTACGTGGGCTGTCAGTGGATGCTTATCCGGCCAGCGTCACACTCCTGGCAATTTTCGAATAATCCCTCAACGACCTCGAGTGATTCCGAGACGTTTTTCGTCGGTCCCCGGCCCGATTACAGCCATCTCGAGTGGAGATCTGGGCGGGTCCACGATCCGGAGCTGTTGCGGGGCGGTCCCAAAACGATCCCAGCTTTTTTCCCTCGAGTTTCCCCCGGGCGTGTCCTCTGCGCTCTCGGAGGAATCCTTGAGCGGCCCTCGAGAGACGTCTGGTCCAGATACCGGTGACGGACGCCGACCCTATCCCCGCCGTCTGACGGGCGCGGATTGCCTCGGATCGGCCTGTTTTCCCCGCGCCCGCCGGTGCTCCCAGAGGAGGTTTTTGTGGCTGATGCCATGTGCCGACGGTCGGTGTCTTCATTAGGAGAATGTTGGAAGACGCGCGGAGCCGCCAGCGCAGGCCGTGTGGTTCTCTGACTCTCGCGAGCCCTTTCCGCGGCTGTCCCTTCTTCTAGCTCATCAGCGTCCGAAGGGAGGAGGCGGTCGCCGACAGCCCCCTGACGAGGGCGGCACGTGCGCTTTGTGCACGTGCCCGTACACTGACAGAGTGGGGTCGCATAAAAAGCGCCCGGCATTTCGCCAGTGCCAAAAGACGCCCGGCTGAAGGGCGGGCTAATGAGCCGAGCGGGCTGAAATGTCCCGGGCAGACCGCAGCCGCGTCGGCCAGTGTGTCAGCGACCCCAGACCGCCAGCCGTCCACCTAAGTGACCCGTGGGGAGAGAGAGCTGTCCCCATCTCCAGCAGCTGTTCCCGCCCCGGGGGAGGGGTGCGCCATTTCCCGGCCGGGATTAACCCTTTCTCTGCTGTGTTAATCATTCATAGCTGCGCGCGGATCTCGCAGACAGAGGACAGCCCGATGAGCGGTGGATAAAGGCGGCACGGAGGTGCGGGCGGTGGAACACGGACTGTCCCGTCACCTGGCCGACTGATGACGTAATGCCGTGTCCGCGCGCCCTCGCGTGCCCCCAGTGGGTGTCAAATTGGGGGGACTAATGAATACTAATGGCGTGCCCCGCAGAGCATCAATCACTGGCGTGGAGCGCGTCCGACCCAATCCAATAATCGAGGCCCGCCCCAATCCAATCATCGCCACGGGTGTTGCGCCCGCGCGCACGTCCTCTGTTGCGGTGTGCGTGATCCGCCGATGATGGGACGACACGCGTTCCGGAGAGGGTACTCGGAACTGGGCTGATGAAAAACACACTATATCGAGGACCCAGAGACCTGATGGTGGGTCATCATACAACCCGACCCGGGATGGTGTTTTGGGTACGGTTCCCTGATCAGCCATTCGCTGGACCGGCCGTGGATCGCGGCTGATTATTTCGATTTCCACTCGCATCAGCGTCGATCCGAGTTTGCTCAGCGGCTGAGCAAACGGCCGGCTGAAAGCGGCCGCGCGGGCCGAGGACGGCGCGCCGATGATGTTGACCTCGAGTCTGTGGCCGCCGGCGCTGTCTGGACGTGTTGACCGTGCACCCTCATCTCCCGACTCCCCTCAGTAATCTCAGCCTGTCTCCCCCGCGCTGTTGGCCGACCTTCGTCCTTGATTTGCCGGTTAGGATGGGGTAGGATGTGGGTGCCAGTCACCTGCTCTGTTTCGTCGTTTCGTAACTGCTTCATGGCGTCACCGTGTGAGCAGTCGTGTTCAATGTTGACTCAAACGCTTAGAGCGCGGCTGTCAGGTGGCTGTCAGTCCTCAGGCGCCGGTGTGCTGTCCTTGAGCGCGCCTGTTTGGACTAGAGATAGCCCTTGTTGGCGACTCATCCTTCATCCCTGGTTATGCCTCGCTCCCCTCCGTCTCCAGCTCTTCTCTCTCCGTTCGTGTACAGTCACGGTATGTCGTTTGCACTAACCGTCCGCTCCTTCCCCTGCAGCTGACGGGGGCAGTGAGATGAGACGCGGTCTCTCGGGGGAGCTCATAATTGCTCATTGCAGGTGCATAACTCACCACATCTCTAGCTGAGCTTGCCCACCAGACTCTCTAGTCTCCTCGACACCGCCCCCCCCCCTCCGTCAGGTCACGTGACCCGACCGGGTCTCGTCGGACCCCGACCGTGACTGTGGGCCCAACTCGACGCCCTGTTTGCACTATGTTTTGGCTGCATGGTCGCCGTTTTTGACAACCACCGGCAGAAATAGGGCGCGATCGTAAATCGAGAGTGGGATTTATTTGGTCGATGCAGCGGTGTCGGCAGCGGCGGCCATGTTTCATCGATTGTGCGGGTCTCGCGCGGCGCGACGGGTAGCGGCCGCTGTGAAACAGTGCGCCAGCGGGCCTCCTGTTTACTCCGCGGCCACCCCTCTGTGTATACGCAGCTGCCAGGCAACGCCCGGGTTAGATCGTCGATGAGTTCGGCAGCCCCCGTCGTTGGCGTCGACGTCAGCGACGATGACGTCGAGCGATCAGGCCGGGGTCGGAGCCCGAAGGCCATTATTCCCGCGGAGGATAACCCTTCTTTGTTTCGGGGGTCGCGCGCGGTCACTGTCCTCTTTGTCCCGGTCTGTGGACGGGCGCGGGGGGCGGTCGCTGCTGCCTTTTTCTGGAGCGGCGGCTGCCGCCTGTCATATCACACAGACTCGGGAAACAGACGGACGGACGCGCGGCGGCGGCCTGCAGAGTTGTCGGTGGCCGCGATGTTGCGAAAGCCGTGTTTTCTGCGGCGGCGTTCGGAGCTTTGATGCGCCTGCGGCGCGCCGCGGCGCTGGGGGTGTTTCGGCGCCGGCTGTCGGCCGGCGGCAGTTGTTCGTGTCCGTCTGACCCCCCCCCCCTCCCTGGACGCTGACCTGAGTGAGTTTGCGGCCGGCCCCTCGCC